ACCTGTGCAACTCCCTTTAGCTCCTTTGGCAATTGTGTGAGTGTCTTTGTTAAATTCTCCAACTGTTGAGTTATAATTTTATTTTGAGCGAGCAAGGCATCACTAGATTGCAATTGTAGAACCCCTTTCTGTTGAATTGGAGTTCCTCTTTCACTGTGCAACTCGTTACCATTAGTAGCCATATTCTCTATCAACTCGGTTGCTTCCTCTAGAGTCTTCCATTTAATATTACCTCCAGCTGAGGCATCTAACATCAACTTGCTTTGTGAACCAAGACCTCCAAGGAAAAGTAGGACTATTACTGCTTCATCAAAGCCATGCGGGGGAGTCTTTCTCAACAAACTTTTATAACGATTTGTTTGACCTAATGTCTCCTCCATGCCTTGTCTGAAAGAAGATATCTCTTGCTTCCCTTTGTTGACTTTAGATTTTGGGAAGTACTTGTTTAAAAACTTTGCAACCACAGCTTCCCACTCAGTGAAACTATCTTCTGGAAAAGAGTTCAACCATAGCTTAGCATTGTCTCCCAATGAGAAAGGAAACAAACTAAGCTTGATTGCTTCATCCGACACCCCATTAATCTTAATGGTGTTGCAAATCTCATTGAAGGTGGTGAGATGTTCATATGGACTTTCATGTGATAGCCCATTAAATTGGTTGCTCTTAACCAATTGTATCAAGGCCGGTTTCACCTCCATGTTCGCAGCATTGACCATCGGTCTTGCTATACTGTTAAAATGTTGAGGGTCAACCACAGTGGCATAATTTGCAAGAGTGCGTCTACCATTATTCTCCTCTACAATATTTTCAGTGCTTTGGTTAGACCTTTGTGGTGAAGGTTGTAAAAGTGTTTCTAGAGGAGGGAATAGTTCTCTAGATGTATGTATTCTTCTCCTCCGTCTACTCTCGTCCAAGCCTTCAAGAAGAGGTTCTGAATTTTTCTTGCTTCTAGTTCGAATTGTTTCCTGCATAAATAAGAAGACAAGTTCCTGGAAACAATTGTTAGCACAAAAAGATAGAAAAGGTAAATAAAAAGATAGAAGATAGAAACATAGAAAGATAGACTTACAGATACAAAGATAAAAAGATAAATAAAAAATATAAAATAAAAAAAATACAAATCAAGTCAAAGTTAATCAATAATCACACAGATAGACTAGTTAAACCACGAGTCCCCAGCAGCGGCGCCAAAAACTTGTTAAACCCTCGGCAAGTGTAATCGAATCGTATCAAATAATAAAACTGGTAAGACCAAGTATCGTTCTCCCAAAGGACTCACAGCCTAGATAGTTATATGATTTGTTGATTATCTAAGACTTGGGACCAAATTCTCTTAGGTTTAAATGAAAAATACTGAAAAGTAAATATGAATGCATGTATTGATCAATGGGCAAGAAGATACACAACACGTGGTTTGAAATATATGAATGATTATGTTGTTGGGGTTTATCAATTTCATCCTATTCACTCTCATGTATTCAAGAATTCATCTTTCTTTATTAATGTTAATGCCACTTTCTAAATTCCCTAAAACCCGATGTCTCGGCGAAGAAAGCCTAATCATAATTACTAGTTTACAATGTCTTGTCTCCCTAGTAATTACTCATGCATTATAAAGCACAGAAACTTAAAGGCAACCAACCATCATACTCCTATGTCTAGGTTTATATTATTGGGAAAGATTCCCCAGATCTAGATTTCCTCGTATGTGTCTGATGACAAATTTATGAACACCGAAAAACGGCGCCAAAAACTTGTTTAACCATCGGCAAGTATGACCGAATCGTATCAAGTAATAAACTCGGTAAGACCAAGTATAGTTCTCCCAAAGGACTCACGACCTAGTTAGTCATATGATTTGTTGATTATTTAAGACTTGTGAACAATTGATTGTAGGCTTAAATGCAAAAGACAGTAATTAAACATGTATACATGAATTTGATCAATGGAAAAGAGGAATTCAAACACTTTAATGAATTAGATGGATGAGTATGTTGTTGGGGTTATCAATTTCATCTTATCCACTCTCATATACTTTTAGGAATTCATCATTCTTTTCGTCAATTGCTAATGCCACTCTCTAAATCACCTTGCAAGAAGGCATATCCTTAATTACGAGTTCATACAATTCCTAGCATCCCTAATAATTAATTTTGAAGCATAGAAGCTTAAACGCAACCAATATGCTATTCGGAGATTTTCCCCATATCTAGATTTTCCCGTACGTTCCCATATCGACAAAATCAATAATCATAGCATCGAATGAGTTAAACAATGCATGCTTTGAGCAAAGAGGAAAAAACCTAACTAATGATGAAAGAAAGCATATATCTCAAATAAGATGTTTAAACACAAATTCCATATATTGGAGTTTCACAAGATTACATTGATTCCCCTAACAACAATACAAGGTTTAGTTCACCATATTCATGGTGAAACTAGATGAACAATAATGAAAGAATGGAAGAGATAGAAAAACCCTAGAAAGAGAAGAGGAGAGCTGTCACCATCTCCCAATCTATCCCCAAGGGGTGAAAAGTGTGTTTCTGCTTCCTCCCAGCCAAAGATACAAACCCTAGGACGTCCTAAAGCTTATATACTAATCTAAAATATACAGAAAATTAGGCCCAAGCCCAAAATAGTGCCGCTCAGCGGTAAGTGCGTGAAGTTGATTCTTCCCCTCAGCTGCATTTTCACCCCTCAGCGGAGCCAACGAGTGTTCCTGAGTGCCGCTCAGCGGTAAACTACCGTTGAGCAGTACTTGCGGCTTCTCCTTTTGCACTTTTTGAGTTCTTTTCTGATTCCATCTCTATTCTTCTTCACTTCTTTCACCAAATTCACCTTAAAACCTGCATAAAACACTGAAATCAAGCATAAACCTCTCCAGCTCTCTTATTTCACAAAATATGAACAAAAACGTGATTCCAAGCTACTTTCTAAGTGTTAAAGGTTGCTTTTAGTATCAATTTTAAGCATGAAAATAACAGTTTTTCAACTGTTATCAGTGTCCATATCGACAAAATCAATAATCATGAAATCGAATGAGTTAAACAATGCATGCTTAGAGCAAAGAGGAAAAAGCCTAACAATTAATGAAAGAAAGCATGTATCTTTAAAAGATCTTGAAGAACAAATTCAATACATGAGAGTTTCAAAGGATTACATTGATTCCCCAACAACAATAAAGGTTTAGTTCACCATATTCATAGTGAAACTAGATGAAATGCAATGAAAGAGTGAAAGATAAAACTCTAGAAAGGTGAGAAAGGAGTTGCAGCATCCAAAATCCTCCTTCAAGGGGTGAAAGAGTGTGTTTCTGCTTCGTTCCAGCCAAAGATGATAACCCTAGGAAGACTACAACCTTATATAGACTTCTAAATATTACAGAAATTTAAGTCCAAGCCCATAAGAATGTCGCTCAGTGGTAAGTGCGTGACTTCTATTTTGCCCCTCAGTTGTAATTTTGCCCCTCAGCGGTGTTTGCGGGTCTTCAAAGTGTTGCTCAGCAGTAAATGACGCTGAGCGGTACTTGCAACTTCTTCCTTTTATGCACTTTTTCTTCCTATTCTTAATCCAACTCCTAGCTCCTTCACTTCTTTCACTCAATTCATCTTAAAACCTGCAAAAACAAGGAAATCAAGCATAAAACCTGTTAAACTCTCTTATTTCCAAAACTTCAACAAAAACATGATTTCAAGCTAGTTTCTAAGTCATAAAGAGTGTCTTTAAGGTCAAATTTCAGTATAAAAATAGTAGTTTTTCAACTGCTATCATGGACACATATGAGAAAATCTAGAACTGGGGAAATTCTCCCAAAAGCTATATTACCTAGACATAGGGATAGGAGGGTTGGTTACCTTTAAGCTTCTATGCGAATGTAATGCATGATTAATTGCTAGGGAGACAAGACATTGTGAACTAGTAATTAGGCGTAGGCTTTCTTCATCGAGACATCGAGTTTAAGGTAAATTAGAAAGTGGCATTAGCATTAATGAAGAAGATGAATTCATAAATACATGAGAGTGGATAGGATAAGTAGGAAACCTCAATAACATAATCATCCATATTCAATATCAATCACCTTTGCGTCTTTCTATCCAATTGATCAAAACTTGCATGCATATTTATTTTCCTTAATACAAATACAATGATTTCGTTTATAAGTCATAATTAATCAAGAAATCATATGAATGTTTAGGTCGTGAGTCTCTAGGAAAACGATACTTGATCTTACCATTTTTTATTTATTAAAATTTATTAAATGTTACCATTGAGTTTACTTATATTATTTTTTTAATTTTTAATTCAAAAATTAACTTCGTCAAATTAGGTCATTTAAACTTAAACTTTTTAATTTCTAAAATCTATTAAATGCTATTAGCTTTGATTATATTTTTAATACTATTTTATGGTAGTTACTTGTTTCACACTAGTGGAAAAAATAACATTCTATGACGACCTATTATGACGGACAAAAATTATCCATCATAATAGGTTGACCGGTGGCAGTATTGTAATAAACTTAAGACATATTATGACTTAGTTATGAAAACCCATCATAATATGCAACGCGGTGGCAAACTTGTAAATAATTTTAAAATGTATTATGACGGAGTTATGTATATCAGTCATAATATAAAATGCGGTGACAAATTTGTAAATAAATGAAACATTATCAAAATTTTCCACCCCTTTCATGTATTATAAAAATGCTTACTTCGTCCTCATGTTAAGAGGTGAATTTTTGTTTAGTATCCAGTTTTAAAAATGAAGACATTGGGTCCCTATGTTATGAAAAATATATGAATAAGGTCCACAAAGAAAGAACAACTTCAATAAATCATCAAAGAAAAAGCTGAATAAGAGAGAGAAAAAGCTGGATAGCAGAAGAGAGAAGAGAAAAAGTACGACCACATCAGCATGGACTTAACGTTGTTGTTATAGGGACGCAATGTCTTCATTTTTAAAACCGGATACTAAACAGAAATTTACCTCTTAACATGGGACGAAGTAAGCATTTAAGCCTCATAATATCTATAGCATTTCACCATCCTGTAAGGGTATGTGAAAACCTAATGACTCTTTCTTCTTTCTCAAAGTCCATCCTCGTGAACCTTGTGCATCACGTGGTCTTGACTCCATCGGCAGGGGCACCATCACGTTTCTTGACTGTATCGTCGATGCGGCTCTAGATCTGGACCGGTGTGCGTCCCTTTGCAATCCCTCTCCATGGAAGAGATATCAAGAGAAAAACCCTAACTTGTAGATCGTCATTGCATTCTGTCTCACCTCTATCGTTGATAGGGTTCCAAATGTGGACACTTACGGTTAGGAGCACATTGGGGATGACGAGGATATGGTAGGGACCTTTCTCGAAGAGGTTGGCTTCTTTACTATTTGACTTTTGTTTGAAGATGAAAATGAAGAATGTTAGTTTGATTTACTGATTTTTGTTTTGGTGGAAGTGATATGGTGCGAAGTGTGTTGGAAGGAAGAGAGGGAAGCTCTTTGGGATCTAAATGCCCGTTTTGGCTTCTCTTTGTCTTGGCAGTGGGATGACACATATTGTAGTGAATGGGAAGGAGTGGAGTGCAACTCATCCACAGGGAGAGTGGCCAAACTTGATCTTCAATGCCTGTGGAGTGTAATGTTCATCCCATCAGATTGGCATTTAAGTTACGCTGATCTTGTTGTCTTCAAAGATTTGAAGAGTCTCAACTTGAGCCGTAGTTATGGGATATTTGATTGTGCAAACAGGGAAGGTTATTCTCTTACACATTCTATTTCTTAATCATTGTTTACTCACTAAAAAGTGAAGTATGAATAATTATTTCCATTTAATTTGAATACTTTGTAGGGAGGGAAAATCTGGAAGTCCTTGACTTGAGTGACAGTAACATAAATGTCACCGACATTCTTCTTTGTTTGAATGGCCTTCCGTCTCTCAAGTATTTGTATTTATCATACAACAGGTTCTATACAACATTCAACGGTAAGTATATAGATTATGATGATGATGATGACGGCGTGATAAGCATCGTTTTAATATTTACTACAAAATTGGTTGGCTTCTTCTACAACCTTTGACTAATACATGTGTATACCTTTAGTTTTTGAAACTTTGTCATCGCAGTTGCTCAGATTAGAGATCCTTGACATAAGTCAGAACACTTTGACTAATGACATGTTGCCATCTCTAGGGGGATTCACATCTATGAAGGAACTGTATTTGTCTGACACTGGATTGAACTCAGATATTCATATCCAAGGTGGAATAATTTTCCCATTTCATTTGTAAAGCTAAGGATACTGATAATAGCTTCAGGATAATATATATACGTATGTAATGTAAGACAGTTTACCTTGCAGGTTTATGCTCTATGTCGAAGAATCTTGAGGTCCTTGACTTGTCTTACAACAACTTTAATGACAGTGATATTGCATATGCTCTTAGGGAACTTTCATCTCTGAAGTCTTTAAATTTAGGAAACACTCAATTGACTCCAAGGTCAATTCTTAGTATGTTACACTTCCTACATTTCAACTTCCCTAATCTTCTTTNTTGCCCCTCAGTTGTAATTTTGCCCCTCAGCGGTGTTTGCGGGTCTTCAAAGTGTTGCTCAGCAGTAAATGACGCTGAGCGGTACTTGCAACTTCTTCCTTTTATGCACTTTTTCTTCCTATTCTTAATCCAACTCCTAGCTCCTTCACTTCTTTCACTCAATTCATCTTAAAACCTGCAAAAACAAGGAAATCAAGCATAAAACCTGTTAAACTCTCTTATTTCCAAAACTTCAACAAAAACATGATTTCAAGCTAGTTTCTAAGTCATAAAGAGTGTCTTTAAGGTCAAATTTCAGTATAAAAATAGTAGTTTTTCAACTGCTATCATGGACACATATGAGAAAATCTAGAACTGGGGAAATTCTCCCAAAAGCTATATTACCTAGACATAGGGATAGGAGGGTTGGTTACCTTTAAGCTTCTATGCGAATGTAATGCATGATTAATTGCTAGGGAGACAAGACATTGTGAACTAGTAATTAGGAGTAGGCTTTCTTCACCGAGACATCGAGTTTAAGGTAAATTAGAAAGTGGCATTAGCATTAATGAAGAAGATGAATTCATAAATACATGAGAGTGGATAGGATAAGTAGGAAACCTCAATAACATAATCATCCATATTCAATATCAATCACCTTTGCGTCTTTCTATCCAATTGATCAAAACTTGCATGCATATTTATTTTCCTTAATACAAATACAATGATTTCGTTTATAAGTCATAATTAATCAAGAAATCATATGAATGTTTAGGTCGTGAGTCTCTAGGAAAACGATACTTGATCTTACCATTTTTTATTTATTAAAATTTATTAAATGTTACCATTGAGTTTACTTATATTATTTTTTTAATTTTTAATTCAAAAATTAACTTCGTCAAATTAGGTCATTTAAACTTAAACTTTTTAATTTCTAAAATCTATTAAATGCTATTAGCTTTGATTATATTTTTAATACTATTTTATGGTAGTTACTTGTTTCACACTAGTGGAAAAAATAACATTCTATGACGACCTATTATGACGGACAAAAATTATCCATCATAATAGGTTGACCGGTGGCAGTATTGTAATAAACTTAAGACATATTATGACTTAGTTATGAAAACCCATCATAATATGCAACGCGGTGGCAAACTTGTAAATAATTTTAAAATGTATTATGACGGAGTTATGTATATCAGTCATAATATAAAATGCGGTGACAAATTTGTAAATAAATGAAACATTATCAAAATTTTCCACCCCTTTCATGTATTATAAAAATGCTTACTTCGTCCTCATGTTAAGAGGTGAATTTTTGTTTAGTATCCAGTTTTAAAAATGAAGACATTGGGTCCCTATGTTATGAAAAATATATGAATAAGGTCCACAAAGAAAGAACAACTTCAATAAATCATCAAAGAAAAAGCTGAATAAGAGAGAGAAAAAGCTGGATAGCAGAAGAGAGAAGAGAAAAAGTACGACCACATCAGCATGGACTTAACGTTGTTGTTATAGGGACGCAATGTCTTCATTTTTAAAACCGGATACTAAACAGAAATTTACCTCTTAACATGGGACGAAGTAAGCATTTAAGCCTCATAATATCTATAGCATTTCACCATCCTGTAAGGGTATGTGAAAACCTAATGACTCTTTCTTCTTTCTCAAAGTCCATCCTCGTGAACCTTGTGCATCACGTGGTCTTGACTCCATCGGCAGGGGCACCATCACGTTTCTTGACTGTATCGTCGATGCGGCTCTAGATCTGGACCGGTGTGCGTCCCTTTGCAATCCCTCTCCATGGAAGAGATATCAAGAGAAAAACCCTAACTTGTAGATCGTCATTGCATTCTGTCTCACCTCTATCGTTGATAGGGTTCCAAATGTGGACACTTACGGTTAGGAGCACATTGGGGATGACGAGGATATGGTAGGGACCTTTCTCGAAGAGGTTGGCTTCTTTACTATTTGACTTTTGTTTGAAGATGAAAATGAAGAATGTTAGTTTGATTTACTGATTTTTGTTTTGGTGGAAGTGATATGGTGCGAAGTGTGTTGGAAGGAAGAGAGGGAAGCTCTTTGGGATCTAAATGCCCGTTTTGGCTTCTCTTTGTCTTGGCAGTGGGATGACACATATTGTAGTGAATGGGAAGGAGTGGAGTGCAACTCATCCACAGGGAGAGTGGCCAAACTTGATCTTCAATGCCTGTGGAGTGTAATGTTCATCCCATCAGATTGGCATTTAAGTTACGCTGATCTTGTTGTCTTCAAAGATTTGAAGAGTCTCAACTTGAGCCGTAGTTATGGGATATTTGATTGTGCAAACAGGGAAGGTTATTCTCTTACACATTCTATTTCTTAATCATTGTTTACTCACTAAAAAGTGAAGTATGAATAATTATTTCCATTTAATTTGAATACTTTGTAGGGAGGGAAAATCTGGAAGTCCTTGACTTGAGTGACAGTAACATAAATGTCACCGACATTCTTCTTTGTTTGAATGGCCTTCCGTCTCTCAAGTATTTGTATTTATCATACAACAGGTTCTATACAACATTCAACGGTAAGTATATAGATTATGATGATGATGATGACGGCGTGATAAGCATCGTTTTAATATTTACTACAAAATTGGTTGGCTTCTTCTACAACCTTTGACTAATACATGTGTATACCTTTAGTTTTTGAAACTTTGTCATCGCAGTTGCTCAGATTAGAGATCCTTGACATAAGTCAGAACACTTTGACTAATGACATGTTGCCATCTCTAGGGGGATTCACATCTATGAAGGAACTGTATTTGTCTGACACTGGATTGAACTCAGATATTCATATCCAAGGTGGAATAATTTTCCCATTTCATTTGTAAAGCTAAGGATACTGATAATAGCTTCAGGATAATATATATACGTATGTAATGTAAGACAGTTTACCTTGCAGGTTTATGCTCTATGTCGAAGAATCTTGAGGTCCTTGACTTGTCTTACAACAACTTTAATGACAGTGATATTGCATATGCTCTTAGGGAACTTTCATCTCTGAAGTCTTTAAATTTAGGAAACACTCAATTGACTCCAAGGTCAATTCTTAGTATGTTACACTTCCTACATTTCAACTTCCCTAATCTTCTTTCTCCAGCACCATTACTTTTAAATATAGATTGATAAAATTGATAGAGATTCAATTTGTTTATGGCCATATTCATTGTATTTTATTCTCTTTATACATCTGACATTTGGTCTTGCGGAGTCATTCTCTTTGTACTTATGGTTGGGTTCATGCCTTTTGATGCACCAACTCATATGGCTCTATTCAAGAAAGTAAGTCATTTTAGATTATTATTGTTACTATTAATATTTTATTACCTATGGCATGAGAATTTATGATAGGCCCTGGTTAGTTCACAAAAGGAGAGAAAGAATTAAAGAGCCTAACTGTATTAATGGTTAGGAGGAGAGTGGGAAAGTATTGTATAAATAACCTTTGTTTAGTAGGGGGGTTGTTGTTAGTTGTATTTGGTCAGGTTCTTTGAACCTTGTGAGGGAGGTTATGCTCTCAGATTATTGATTGTAAAGGCTAATACTTGTGAAATACCAGAATTCTTTCATTCATCTTTGCTTCTTGTGTGTGTGTGAGAGTGATTCGGCTAGGTTTCCCATTTAGAAACCTAACATTGTTTATACAAGTCCAAATCTATAATTCACTGCTTCAAGGAAACAATATTAGTGCAGACAAAAACTCACTTTGATAAACTCTGTGTTCTAAAAACAATTAATCTATGACTAACTATTTGGAAATATCTTGGTGAAAACATAAATAAAATGGTGTGTGAGTGCAAAAGGAGTTTATAGATGACCTCTTTTCAATGTTGAATGTGAAATGCAGGCAACAGCGGGTTTGAGGCTATTAGATGGTGATACTGCTAAAAACATATTGCAAGCGGTAACCATGAGACTAATTCATGTTTTTATCTTGTTAACTATGCTTTCAATGTATTAAGTGTTCATTTTCTTGTTTAAAGGTGAGGGAAATGTTCAAAAACAGAAGTACACTGAATGTTCAACCAGATGCAGTATCTGTTATTGATGGAACCCAAGAAGGTTCTTACCTATAGCTGATGCGAAACTAAAATTTCATTTCACTTTTCTATATTGCAAAAAATGGATTCATTTTGGTAGGTTCACTGCAGAAATAAAAGTAAATGAATAAGAAAACTATGCTATATATTGTTAGATATATTATCTTTATTTATCTTTATCTTTTATCTTTTAGTTAGTTTGTTAATATTTCTTATTTGTATTTGGCTTAGCCCATATTTCTTCTATTATAAATAGAGAACCTTATGTGCGTATGTCAACACCCAATTTCGTCCGGATGAATAAATAATATAGGTCTTTCTTTTTTATTGCATCTTATTTTATTTTATGTTTTTTTATGAATTTTATTATTATTTTATTTTGTTTTTTTATTAGTTCATTTGATTTTCCATATAAGTATTTAAAAAAAAAAAAAAGAAAAAAAGAAAAAAGAAAAAAGAAAGCAGAACCCGCCACGTACACTGCACCGAATTCAGAAAGAAAAGATTGGAAAAAACGGTTCCTCCCTCACGCACACTGGCAGATGCTCCATAGCTCTCCACTCCTCTGCTCCTCTAACCCGTAACCACCCAACAACATTTCCTTTCACTCCCAATTCCCCACCTCCAAGAGATCCATCACCTCTGACCAATCTCCAACAATGAATACCACGGCCTAACCTCC